AACACTGTTCGCTTTTCAGTCAAAAGATATTTTGAAATTTTCAAAAAGATAAATGATAAGTCCATTTACATATATTAAGACTGATAAGGTAAAACCTACTTCAAAATCAAACAAAGATTTATCTGTGATAAGTCAAGAACTTTTGAGTCTAAAATTGATAACACAAATTAAATATTTCCAAAATGTGTATTGTAGGTGCTTATTATAAACAAAAAGATTATCTGATTGAAATGAGTCGACCCTTCATGTTTCGTTAGTTCTAATATATTAATATTGAATGCATAAGTGGCAGCTTAGATTCTAGCCATATCCCATGTGCTGGGTACAACTCCTTTAAATAAATATTAATTAATAAAAATAATATTTTATTTTAAAAGAGAGATTAATAATGGCGTTTATCCCCTTCCATATGGGGGAATAACCAACTGATTCCCTTGTCGACTTAGAGTGCGGGGTGATACCATCTATCTTGTCATATATCTGTTACTTTTAATATATACTATATATTAGTGCTCGCCAATTTTTTTAAGCCAATCACCGACGAGGATTTTTCAAATTTTCAGGTTTCAAATCTTAATAGAACATATTTTTATATAAACTGGACGTTTTATATTATAAAACGCAAGTGGGCGGAGCTAAGTTTCGAAGAGCGCTAAAGTGCAATATACGCATGTGCAGAGATCTTGAAGTTTACTCCTCCTACTAATCAATATTTATGCATCATGTTTTTCCGTACACGCACATGTATATCGTCACTTCGGCATAGAATTAAAAAAAGAGGTTCATTGAAATGAAAACAGGCAAATAACAGTAAAAATGTTTTATTACTTACGGAACCAGTATCATTTTATATTTCCAAATAAAAAGTTCACTTTATTTCAACAAAGTAGATCTATGTATGTAATATTTCTTACTTTTATTAAATATTACAGCCCGTGCCGCTGCAAAACCGAAAGTAGGGTGTTTTTATAAATTTTACATTTATTTTTGACAATATACATGTACTGCCATTTGTCCGAAGATTATATGTTTATTCATGAACATATTAAATATGTATGATGCATATATATTATCAAGCCACAGGTTCATTTCAGCCCGAAAAATATGTCGAGGTGACGGGCGAGGCAAGACATGTCGATTTTTTTGTAGCTCGCAGTACATTAAAATCGGGCACATGACAAATCAGCACATAAATAAAACATTCTAGTGTTCCGTGGTATACATCTTTTCTACGTGTCATACCTCCTTTCCTTATTACAATGAAACTTTACTGCATTGTTATCCATCGCTGGTTTGTTTTTAGCAGAGAATGACCTGTGCATGTTCAAAGAGGGTACCGTTTAGAGGGTACCGATATTGATATGCACCGTAATATTGTCTGATTTACCTAAAATTAGCTATGCAAAACACGTGACCCGAAAATGTGTCTTCTAAATATGGTTATACACATTTAGGCTATCGTGTGACGTCACGCAGTGTGTTGGGCGGATAAAAATGGGCGGAACACTAAGCCGGTTAGAGTGCATATTGGATGTTCTTTGTAAGTCGCTTCGCAAGCTCCGCTCCTTTTTAGCTTTCTTATTTACGAAGAACACCCAATATGCACTCTAACCTATACTTAGGTATTTTGTATAAGGTATTTTGTAGATGTAAATATTTTTACAAACCTATATTTACACACACATATATATATATATATTAATAGCCTAAATGATGTGCGTGCCCGTGTGCGCGTGTGCGTGTGGTTCTTTAAAGGCACATTATGACCAAAAATGATTTTTTTTATTTCCCATAAGCTTTTTATTTCTTATCTTCTTTTATATTTTCAAAAAGTAAGGGTAACTCATGGCCCAATTACTTGAACCATATTTTCCTTCTCTTTCTTTTAAGCAATCAAAACAGTTTAAGTAATTTAGTATTTTGTATGGAAGTCAAAATGCTAATTTGCTTACGTTTTGCCTTTTTTTAAAGTTATTTCACATTAGTTAATTTTATCCTTAGTTCAATCAAGTAACAAAAAAAATTCATGCTATAAAATCATTGCTTTATATGTTCTAAAACTCGTATATGCTAATTAAAAAGGAGTAAATATTTATTAGTTTATGAAGCTAGCGTGCCTTAATAAGCAACTCTTCAATAAAGTTGCAAAGTGTACTATTTGCTGTCTACAAGACTGATATACCCGTCCTACTAACAGTACTATTAATGTGTGAATCTGGACAGTAAAAGAGTGCATGAATATTTGATTTTATTGGTATTTTTATCATTATCTGTGGCTTGAGAATGTTATCTTCACTTCTGTTGTTTTTATGCATATTACACATGAAATTCAAGATCCATCTTTGTTATAGGTATCCTGTTATTTTTAGAAACATCCCTAGCAAATGTCAAATGTATTGTTTATAAAGTGTTAACTAAATGTGAATTATTCTTGGAAGCAGATCGAAAAGATTATAATTATTCCTATATACAAGTACATTGACATGTACCAATAATTGTTGTGCCAGTCGTTATCAACATATAATTGATCAGACAATACATAAATATCAAAGCCTTGCAGTGTGGTTAAATAGAGAATCTTTTGATATCAATTTTATCAGGTGAGGCTGATATGGGCTAGAAAGGGGCGAGGCTTGCCGAGCACTTTCACATAAACTTTACAGCACTTTTTTTCCTTGAATAGACAAATTCAAAGAAAAATGATAATTTCAATCAAAGAAAAGTCAAATCGGCAATCAAACACAAGCTACACAAACATGCGTCTTAATTTTTGAACGAAACAATTTTTTCTCATATTTAATAATAATCTGGCGAAATAAAGTAAACATTTAATTTTACCGTGCAACAAGTACAAGGGATCTCGTTGACGGACGCAGATACACCTGCAAATGGGTGAAAACCCTTGATGGGAAAATGTAAAATTAATCAAGAATCATTTGCAAGTTATAACAGTTCTTTTTCATGAATTTTCTGATGCATGAGTTTTGTTATGCAGAACAAATTTATGCATTTAATTCAGCTGACTTATAGAAGTCCCATATTTTCTCCTAATACATTTATTATAATAAAAATAAATGTATTCATTGAAAAAAATCCTCTGAATACCTGAAACTCTGAATTCCGAAATCCGGACGATTTTCTCTGGCTTCTAATGATAAACATGCATAAAAAATCCTCTGAAAACCGGACAGCAATTTTAAGTGTCAACTTTCTGTGTATTTTAATGTATATTATAACATAATCTCAACAGGTGACATGTTCAAGTAATAGTTATAGTATATGAAACGAGTTAGTTACGAGGGTATAACACTGGCTGGGGCGACATCAAGGGGTGTTTCTGCTAAAAAATGGCGAGGCCAGTGTTATACCCCCGTAACTAACGAGTTTCATATACTATAACTGTTTTATCGCAATGGCATAATGTTTTCTTTTTTGTATAGAAACAAATAAATAAATTAATCGTTAGCTACATTACAGTTATTTATCATAAGGCAGTTTTTCAAGTTGTTTTCGCTGCCGCAAAAAAAAATATACAAAAGACATCCAATATAAGAGGCGGATTGTATACTGTTACCAAGATTGATTTAAGATTAAAGGGCTTTTTTCATTTCATTAATTATCTTTGTTTATATTTTTCATTGTATTTATATATTTAATTTATTTTATTTTATTGATTTCATTTTTTATTATCTTATGTTTTTTCTTTTTGCTACTGGGAATGGTCGTTACCACTGCCCCATTGGAGCCTCTCTGAAAAAACTGTATTGATATATACAAGGTGCGAAAAAAACTAGACCGATATATAACAGTACAGTTTTTTTCCTATATGAATCAATGAAAAAACTGTACTGTTATATATCAATACAGTTTTGAAATGCTCATTGAAGTGTACCGAGTATAATGGGTTGGAAAGAACAAAGGAAAAGCTCACAGCCATGCGATAACAACAGTTAATGATCAAGCGCACCTTTTTATCTATGCTGTTAGTGTGTGTTAATTTCTTATTGCCAATTAAATTATAGCTCTTTCGTTATAATTGTGCCTTTCCCTATATAGGTATGATTTGTTTTAAATGTTTTTAATTTGTTGTTTGTTTTTTTTTTTTTTTTTTTTGTTGTTTTTTTTTTTTAATATAAAGTGTCTAAAAGAATTGGGAACCTCTTGTAAAATGATTCCTGTTTTGCTAAAAATTTCGATCATTGTTTGAATATTTATCATATGCAAAAATAGTATACTAAATCGCATTGTAAATGCCATTACTTACATATTTCAAAAGCCAATTAAAAAGATATATCTCAGACAATGTGTTGTTTTAATTTCTGATTTTCTGAATTATATTCATGGATTTGCATAATACAATTTATTAAGACATTTATTGCTAAAAGAAATTAAAATATGACTTAGACTAAAGTGTTAAAAAGAAAATACAAAATGTTTGAACAAGATCATTTTTCAAACACATCATACTTATCAATAAATGTATAAAACATCTGAAAACCGGAATCCTCTGAAAACCGGACTTTTAGTCAAGTCCGGAGAGGGTCCGGTTTTCACTGAGTTTTTACTGGGACAAAAAGTCTTAATCATTAAGAACACGTGAATCATGTGTATTTGGTAACGGAGAGAAATAGAGACTCAGGAAATTAAATGTGGTAAGGTTTTCGTTGCTTTTAAGTTTCCATTATGCAAAAAATAAAGTTTACATTCGAATGTCAAAGATGACATTTTTATATGTTTTTAGAAAAATCATTTCGAGTGGAATGTTTTTTTAGGGTAAGAGCTTTGCTCTCTATATTGTTTTAAAAAAAATCTAAATCTAAAAAAAGGCCATGAGGCCATGACACACCCACTTTTCGCTGCTGTTTCCCTAGAAGCTTCGCTACTTATATTGATTAAGCGAGGAAAAATAAAGCTAATGCAAAAGGCTAATCTGCAATAAAATCAGACGAAAAACAGTTGGCTCCAGAAAATAGTGCTTTCTATAAAAAACAAGTAAAATGGTTTCCTGCGGGGAACATTTTTAATGATATAAAGATATTTCATTTAACTATTTTCAACATTGTTTGGGGTGGGGGTAAATAAACGTTTGTATCAGGAATATAGTTGACAATAATCGATCAATATAGAAGAAGGTCTTTGGAAACTGGTGACCGTTGATGACCGGAGAAGGTAGAACATAAAACAATTATTTCTTTTTAAGAAAATGATTAAATAGGCCTACCATTTTATGAATATTTCCGAGCAAAAAAAATAAAATAAAGTAAACACACAAGTTTACGCAGAAAATATCTCTATTTATTATGGCAGATGCCACTACGAATATTTTAATTTTGTAGATTTTCAGTATAAACAATTTATTGTTTGTAACATTTTGAGATACATATTAAAGAAACATTGATAATTTTCAAACACATCAAGTTTTTCCACCTTAAACGGTTAAATAATTATAGAAAATTAAAAATATCACGTAATAGTTTTTTGTTCTTAATTGGACTCGGTCCGGTGAATTTTCGTACTATTTGTTCTATAGTAAATCAGTCAAATTTGAGGCTTAATTCTGGATTCGACTGTTCTTGATGCATTATATACTGTCTTCAACTTTAAACATTAACACTATCTTAGTCCAATGAGGCCCAAAATATAATAGGTTAGCCATCTACTTTTTTCAGAAATCTTCATTCTGTTGTAACACTGTTTAAATTCACCACTTTAAAAACTCCTGACAGCTGGTGGGTAGTACATCTTTAATCCTTCCACCAACAAATGAGTTCCTGGAGAATACACAAAAAACAACTTTTAAAGTCATCATATAACACACAAAAACTACACACATGCAACAAATACACTTTAATTATGACCAATCTAACTAGAGATGACTTAAATTGGGCCATTTCAAAATTTTAAAGAACTACTTTCTACAATGGGTTCGGTCTAATTCCGTACCGGGTTGAGACCAATTAGGTGTAATTCTGACTTATTCCCTAGAGGTGAATCCGTAACATACCGGCAAACGGTATTTAGCCAGGTGTTCGAAAAGGTCATTTAACCAATCATGTACGGTTTACAGATCACATGCTCCTCCATGTACCGAAAACAGGTCACGTGCTCCTCCATGCCTCAAAAGTTAAACGCGTACCAATACCCTGCGGTCTCCAGACCGCAGGGAATAATGCAGACGGAACGCAATGTAATACAATATTTTTTTTTAATTAATTGTACAATTATATTCTCTATGTTTTATTGAGAAAAACGATAAAGTTGGATACTTTAATTTCTATTTCCATGTTTACTTAATATGTTTTAGTCTATTTAGATGATAAATAAATGTCTTTATTTTCTATAATACAATCAACATTTATCAACATTTATCTTTACATACCACGGCGACAATATTATTTTGATTAATTGCTGATGGACTGTACAACAATCGGGCAACAAATTCAACAATATCAATAGATGAATTAAAAAAATAAAATTTTGTAAAATTATTTTAATATTCTACTGTCAGAAATATGCTAAAAATATATAACAGTCAAACACTTGGAATGTTACTTGAATTTCCAACCCCCTACCGGATAGTACTTTTCGTGCTCCATGTATCGCTATATTCAGAAAGGTTGAGAAAACAAAAAGTTCGTGAACCGAGCTTTATATTGCAAAAAGTTGCATGTTTCCATTGTAAAATTGTTAGATTTTTGTCCAGTGAAAATTGTCGGAATCCAGTACCGTTTTCAACAGCGTACTTATAAATCACAGTGTACATTTTCGGTTTTATGATCTTTTACTTTCGTAATAGAGTAAAAACACACTTTTTGTCAGAACTTTACTAAATCTATATGCTGTTCAGAAATTGTAACTGTAGGTCTGTTCTTGCCGGTCATTTACATAAACTTCTAAGTCTCGTAGTTCTATCTCACACTTTCCATTTTCATCCAAATCACTTAATATACCCTCTATGACTGCATTTGTACAGATCGATCTCTGGTTAACGTTTATTTCATTTACATTATCAGAATTTTGTTCCCTGTGTTCTCCAACTGTATCACAAATAGTAACTATCGCATGAGTGGTATTTCGGTCTCGAACGGTGGAGCTTAAACCTGTGCGACCCCCTAAAAGACCTGTTAATAACTCTTTCAAATCTGTTCTAAAGAACTTGCCAAATATGCAATACACGATACAATTGAACCCACTGTTTAGAAAGTAACTTGTAAGCATTAAGTATACTGCAATATCGGATAGTTCATTATACATTTCTTCACTTATACTTAAATAGAAAGCGTATGGCATGGTTGAAATACAATGTAACAAACTTACACTTATGACAACTTTTGTTATGTTTTTAATATGTCTTTGATTCGTCGCGTTTTGAAACGCTCTCCCTTTGCGTTTAAATACCTTTATCCACGTTATACAGTTACTCGTTGATAAAAGTACGAGAGGAATTAGAAATGTAAATAATCCATATGAAATCAAAACCATGTAATTATATGAATTTGATAGTTCGAAAGCTTCGGTACTGTTATCTTGAAGTATTTGTGTACACAATGTTTCAGGACAAAATAGTTCAAAACAGTTCAGTGCGAACGAAAAAAGAACGATAAGGCATAATGTCAAATAAGACCGTTTTTCAACATTGATCTTGTTCACCCGAATAGGAAAACATACACATAACGTCCGTTCAAATGCAATTGCGACTGTTATCCAAGCAGTCAGCTGTGGCAAAAATAGGCCTAAGAATAGCAAGAGTTTACATACTATAAAACTGGTTCTTTGTACGTCAATGTTGGACTCGTACAACGCGTATTCTGATCCAAGCACCATCAATAACACCAAGTCGTTGAGAGCTAAACTCCACATATATCTGCGACAGCTTGCTGTACAACTTCTTTTACCGTATCTCCATACAATCATAGAAATGATATTGCCAACAGTACCAAAAAAGATTATTATTATCAATAAAATAATTTTAAATTTAGACATTTTCGTGATTTTTTTTCAATTATTTTGACTTGGAATCGTTATTGCGAAATATTTCCAGAATTCTATATGTCCTTTGTATGCAAATAGTTCCTAACTTTGCAATAAATAAAAGCTGTTTGAGCTCCGTCATTTAATACTATCCACCAAGTAACAACCATTAATCATAATATACATGCACATCAAATATTCATGCATTGCCATCAAATAAATTGCATTCGTTAATTCATGACATGCATGAGTGATTCTATTCCATGAAACATTAATTATTTCGACTGAAAGTATATATTATATATTATGATTTTTTTTGTAAAAAATAAAATATTTTACTAATTGGTTTCCATATGATATATAAACATGTATAACTATCATTTACTGTAAATTTGTTTTTTTTTTTTTGTAAGAATGGAAAAATTCCCCTTTTTTTTGCATCCCGTGCACTTTCTGGGTGCGCTTTCAAATAAGTTTCATGTTTGTTAAGAGGTGTAAGATATGTGTCCTGTCCGTGCTCTGCCTTGCACCCTGTCCTAGTTTTGTTTGGGGTCCTCCTGGGCTCCTTGCCGCGGTTTTTGTTGCTGGGACATGTGGGGGTTGCGTTCATTGAACGCAGCCCTTCCGTGCTGATCTTGTTAATCATATTTTATTGGTTCCAATTAGATGTAGATCTCGGTGAATTTTGTAATATGGTCCAAAACCATTTGCTTTAGGCTACGAATTTTAATGGGAAACATGTATGATAATTGATAAGCGAACTGGTATCAAAACTTTCAAAGTCAAATATATATTATATATATATATATTACGAAAGACCGGTGGTGACTTCTGACTTCAGAGTTCAGAGTTCGGACTTCAGACTTCAGACTTCATACATAATGCTTTATACATATAGCATTTAAGGTGTTCTGAACTCCGAAGTCTGAAGTCTAAACTCTGAAATCTGAACTCCGAAGTCTGAACTCTGAACTCCGAAGTCTGAAGTCCGAAATCTGAACTCCGAAGTCTGAACTCTGAACTCCGAAGTCTGAAGTCTGAAGTCTGAACTCTGAAATCTGAACTCTGAAGTATGAACTCGGAAGTCTGAACTCTGAAGTATGAACTCTGAAGTATGAACTCTGAAGTCTGAACTCTGAAGTATGAACTCTGAAGTCTGAACTCTGAAGTATGAACTCTGAAGTATGAACTCTGAACTCTGAAGTATGAACTCTGAAGTCTGAACTCTGAAGGATTACATGAATCACGTATTCTGACGTCATACTATTGTCGCGCATTTTTGACGAGTAAACAGCCTTTTTACCTGCACAATTACACACAAGATGATCTGCTTTTGTTTTAATTTAAATGTTAATTATTATTAGCACATTTACTTATTATGAGTAAACTTTTCATTTAATTTTACCTGTTTTAAAAGTTTTTTTTCTCTTTTATTTGAGTATTTCTAAGAAAGTACATTTGCAGGATGCACCCTAATTAAAGCAGAACTTGGCCGTTTTACCTGCACAATAACACATAAGGTGACCTGCTCCACCATTGCACAAATCTTTATAGCTCTTAGGAAATCATGGCTGCCAGGGTAAGGTTCTAGTGCCCTCTACCTCTTATGGCTTTTATGGGCCTTTTGTTTAACTTGAGAGCAGGCAATATGCCATATGTAATTTAAGTTGTGAAAAATATTTGAATACATGTATTTTCTGAATTGAGATTTTTATTGCAGTTAATTGTTAAAGCCAGAAATTTTAATAAACAAGTTTTAATTGATGCAATTAACATTGTCCTTTTGTCTGTTTTTTAGCTCACCTGCCAAGTAGTAGTAGTAGTGGTGGTAGTAGAAGTACTAGTACTAGTGGTACTAGTGGTAGTTGTTGTAGTAGTAGTAGTAGTAGTAGTAGTAGTAGTAGTAGTAGTAGTACCAATAGTAGTAGTAGTAGTACTAGTAAAGTAGTAGTAGTAGTAGTACTAGTAAGAGTACTCTATTCTAGTAGTAGTAGTAGTACTAGTAGTAGTAGTAATAGTAATAGTAGTAGTAGAAGTAGTGGTGGCGGTGGCGGCGGCGGAGGTGGTGGTGGTGGTGGTGGTGGTGGAAGTAGTAGTTAGTGGTAGTAGTAGTAGTAGTGGTGGTAGTAGTAGTACTAGTAGTACTAGTGGTAGTAGTAGTAGTAGTAGTTGTAGTAGTAGAAGTAAAAGTAGTAGAATTAGTAGTGGTAGTAGTAGTAGTACTAATAGTAGTAGTAGTACTAGTAAAGTAGTAGTACTAGTACTAGTAGAAGTAAAAGTAGTAGTGGTAGTGGTAGTAGTAGTAGTAGTGGTAGTACTAGTAGCAGTAGTAGTTTTAGACTAGTTGTAGTAGTAGTAGTAGTAGTAGTGGTGGTGGTAGAAGTAGTAGTAGTAGCAGCAGTAGCAGTAGCAGCAGCAGCAGCAGTAGCAGTAGTAGTAGCAGTAGCAGTAGTAGCAGCAGCAGTAGTAGTAGTAGTAGTAGTAGTAGTAGTAAGAGTAGTAGTAGTAATAGGAGTAGAAGTAGCAGGAACAGTAGTAGCAGTAGTAGTAGTAGTAGTAGCAGTAGTAGTAGTAGTAGCAGTAGTAACAGTAGAAGTAGTAGTAGTAGCAGTAGTAGTAGTAGTAGTAGCAGTAGTAGGATTAGTAGTAGGAGTAGCAGTAGTAGTAGCAGTAGTAGTAGCAGGAGCAGCAGTAGTAGTAGAAGTAGTAGCAGTACTAGTAGTAGCAGTAGTAGTAGTAGCAGTAGGAGTAGTAGTAGCAGTAGTAGCAGTAGTAGCAATAGCAGCAGTAGCAGCAGCATTAGTGGTAGCAGTAGCAGCAGTAGCATTAGTAGTAGCAGTAGCAGTAGCAGTAGCAGTAGCAGTAGCAGTAGTAGTAGCAGTAGTAGTAGTAGTAGTAGTAGTAGTAGTAGTAGTAGTAGTAGTACTCGTAGTAGTAGTAGTAGTAGTCGTAGTAGTAGTTCTTCGTCGTTACAAATAGACCCATTGCTTCTTTAACATGCTACACTTCAGCTGGGTTTCGTACTTTCTATATCTAGATATTTGTGGAAAACACTGAAAAGCTTCTCTGAATTTCAAATACCCTGACCAGGATTCGACTCTGGGACCTCTGGATTTGTAGTCCGGAACACTAAACACTTACCAATGCACCAACACGTAACTGGGATGATGTCTCAGTTGAAGAATAGTCGGGATTTACGTATTCATTGTGTCTGTACGGAGCGCCACACAATTGTCCGTGTGTCTTGTTCGAGAAGGGACTTAAGTCCGTTGCTTAGCAACTACTCTATATACTGGAAATGCAATTGCTAGAAAAGAACACAGTTTCAGAAGACATATTATTAGTTGGTTTTCCAATAAAAGATAGACAGCTGTTTTTCTTCAAACTTAAAGTACAGAAACAGCCTAGGTTAGGGACACAAATTTTTTTGGACACTATAGACGAACTTCAGGTAGAGTTTAAAAATGGATCATCTATGGTCTAAACCTGGGTCAACATAACCGTGCAAATTGCAAAAATGACCATTTTCAGCTTATTGTCACTCAAGCAACTTCATAAATGCATTAATTTTTTATCAACGCTAATCAGAAAATGTAACTAGATAAAGCCAAGATCGAAAATGAGTCGTGTTAAGTTCGAAGAACTAGGCCAAATTGATTTGATTTGATATTTGTTTAACGCCCGTTTCAACAATTTTCTAGTGATATAAAGGGGTTAAGTTTACCTTTTCATCGTTCCTTGGTGGAAAAAAGCACTAGGCATCAACCTCTCGCACAAAGAAAACTGTAGCAAGGCTCGAACCCGTGACACCTAAATCAGGGGATATCAGTAAATACAAGTCAACCTTAACCACTTGACCACGGAGGCGGTATAAAAACTAGAACTAGGTCAAAGAGACATTGAAAACTACTGTTTGATCCACCTCTTTCATATTTAGTTATACATCATTTTGATCTTATTTCATTTTTGAAAAATTTTGTTTTAGTAGCCAAAAGTTCATTTTTTCCCGCTGTAAAAAATAGATACACGTAATTAAATTTTTTTTCCAAAAAGTGACAATTTTTGCTTACCAAAATGTTTCATTTGATGTAACTAAGGTGAATCAAACAGTTGGCAAACATTATCATTTTGACGTTTAAATCACTCCAAGAATTAAATTATTGCAACAATGTTAATAAACCTTGTCTATCACGTTTGATTTGGCGGAATTGAAGTAACCATGTTTTTTCTATTTTACACTTAAGTAATATCGTTTTGGCGTCGACTTCATCTTATGTGTGCGGACGTTCGCTGAATTCTCAGCATTAATTTAGGACCAGAAATGACAAATGCTCAGTAGTTCAATATCAAACTTAAAGGTGTTGTCTACCGGATGGCTGAAAAAATGAATTTTGAAAACAATTTTGTATATGAAATTTTTGTACTATTTATGAAGAGGGATATGTAAGTAAGTTATTGTCAAGGAATGAACTAAATAAACACATTACAAATTGTATTTTTAACACCTTTAAATCTATAGCGTAGCGCTACGGTATAAGTTGATTTGTATAAAATTGAATTTAGTTCCGTCTTAATCAACAGTTATTGTGACGCAGTCTGTCGAGGCGTCAGGAGTTTGGAACTATATGCGTGAGTTCGAGACATGCTGGTGACACTCTTTTATTTATTAAATTCAGTTTATTCAATAGTTTGTTCTTACGATCTCAGTGTGTCCAGAAATAAATTTCCCGAAGAAAAGAAAAAAAATACTCATATTCTGGAAGACATCCCCTTTAAATTAACATGTGATATTAAAGAATATTACATTCGTGTCTTTTAACATTGAACTTATTAAACTCAATGACGATAACATGCTCGATCGAGCCCCGTAATCCATCATTTTATTAAACTCATTTAATAAATTCTATATGAAAAGACACTCATGTGATATCCTCTATATTTATACTGTATCTAAATGATCTTCAGGTCAAGTTTAAAAATGTGGGCTCAGAATGAGGCAATTTAGTCAAGTCAAATTTTATTTCGTTTTATAGATAATTTCGAATCTGCGTAATTATTTCTAGATATAGATCAAATGCTTCCTCTGCT